GTTGGAATTTCTTAGGTCGCCGGCCGGAATTTGAATTACAATGCGAAAAAAATGAAATACCCACAAAAACAGCCCATTTGATAGATATTAACCCGTGCCGACGAAGGGTTAAAGTTTAAATGGGGTTTAACATGGGTTTGGTGTACTTCCTCAAACTTTGTATTACAACTTTTCCATTTCTCAATAATTTGACTTGGGTCTATGTATTCCCATAGTTTTTTGCATGCTGAACACGAATATGATGTCAAAAATAACTTTTGACAGCTACCGCTTGTCAAAAAAGCTGTCAAAATTCTATCAAATTTTCAAAAAAAAGAGAATTTCCACGACTTTCACATTAACTTCTACTAATAAAAAGGTTTCTTGAGAAAATTTCAGTTTATATTTATCAATTTAATACACTTTGACAGTTGACAGCTGCCAAATGAGTTGTTAACTTTTATAGACACCAGTTTTGAAAGAGTTTTAAATGAATTATCACAAAAAACGTTTCTGTGGGTAAATTCAGTCCATGCCTAAGTATTTAATATATTTTGGAAGTTGACAGCTGTCAATTTGGTAGTCAGCTTCTATAAAATAGGATTTTTTTAAAAGTTCCTAATTATTTTTTATAAATGATTTTTTAAGAAAAATTAGTTTATATTTATGAACTTAATATATTTTAGCAGTTGACAACTATCAAAACAGCTGTCAACTTATATACGACAGAATTTTTCACAATGTTTTTAATTAATTTATCAATTGTGTAAGCTTTTGTAAATGGTGTAATAAATACATGAAAATAAGTATAAGTCTAATTTTCTATGAAACTGAATTCAATTCTGAATTAATTCCTAACGTCCATAGATGTCGAAATTGTTGTCTATTAGACGTCTACCGCGCAGAATCCGCGCGTCGAATAGATGTCGGTTAGACCTTTTATTTCTTACTGGGTTATATGCATTTTTGGTCAAAAATCATACAAATTCTTTGACAACGCTATGACATTTTGTGCAAAAACCGCACAAATCAAAAAGTTAAACTATTAAAATTTAATTTTAGTTTCATATAATTAAACAGAAACTTTTATTTAAAGTATAAATAATAACACTTATACTAAGGGGCCATCCATAAACCACGTTGCTCCTATTTTGGAACTTTTTAACTCCTACCCCACGTAGCTTAACGTAGCATATTACAGAACCCCCTTCCCCCTACCTAATGAAACGTAGCTTTTTTCTTTTTTGTGTATTAAAACCCTTTTTTGTAAAAATAATCAATAACAGCGGATTATGAATTAGATTGAACCAAAATAAATGGGAGTCAAAATCTACCGATTATCTGCATAAAAGGCTCTTACGTATGAAATCACATACATTAACTTTTAGTTTCCTTAATAAACTAAAAATGTTTTTAGTCATCTGAATTTTGAAAGGGCGAAATAAGCCACTCATACAAATTTGTAATCATGGAAAGTGTGTAATCAATTTTAGTGATATCCATATGTCGTTAACATTGGCTTGTATTTTCGAATTCGTAAATTCTCTTGAATAACATTTTTTATAAACCTCGTAGATCTTATTATGCAGAACATATTTATAAATTCTGAGAATAATTCACCAAATTTCACTTTTAAAATCGCACATATCTTGAACCAGCTAAACTCGTTCAAACTTGCAGTTTTTGTAATTAAAAATGAATGAACGATAGATAGCAACGCTGATAGTAAACGAGAAGGGTATTACTTTGAGATTTTACTAAACTCGATTCATCTCGATTCTTTTGAATTGACTTTCGAGTAGCTCGCGTAATTTCAAAAAAAAGTCTGTGAAATAAAAATGCAAAATAAAATACGTTGCTCAAACTCAAACTCGTTCCTCCTCCACAGGGGCGTAGCTCTTTACCGAACCCTCTCCCCCTAAAACAGGCCACGTGGTTAATGGATGGTCCCTAACATAACCTTAAAATAATTTTCTTCTTAGGTACACTAAGAAAAGAAAAGCATAGAATCTGAAATGGACAAGTTTAGCATCTGTACCCGAATTAAAAGCAGCAGCAGTTCCGCTGTATGATAGATGCCGTACTAAAATATGAAACGGATTTTGTCTTTGGCTTGAGGTACAGATTTTGTTCTTCAAATTGTACTGTTTTGAAGTACAGTATCTGTCGGTTGTTATGAGACAGATCCTGTAATAATAGTTCGCACCGCCGCTGTGCTGCTATAACGACACCAACTAAATAAAATTAAGAACGGGTGCTGTCACCCATTTTACACGGACGGTATTCGGCACAGTACGGATTCTGTGCTTTTCTTCTCTCAGTGTACCTATCATCTGAGTATGTCATATATATTAATATCATTTTGAAGGCCCAGTGTTTACATTAAAACACTTCTATTAAAACACAAGAACTTACTTTAACAATGATATTTCAAATAAAATTGTTTTATAAACAATAAAATAAGAAATTATTGTTCGATGGTCTCTGAAACTTCTAGGTCATGTGCGACCTACAAAAACAGCACTGATTGGTTTAAATGACTTAAAATTAGTAAACAATCATTTACGAACAAATTTTTCTCTGCACAGAGGCACTTTTTGCAAAATCTGCCCAGGAACCATCTTCACGAATATTCTTAATTACCTAACTCCAAAAGATTTTTTTAATTCATGCAGAGATGCGGTTGCAAAATGAAAAAACCCCTATGGTGGCTCTTATTGTCCTCTGAAGTTAGATTCAAATGACCTCATATCCTTTGAAATTTGCCTCATATGACCTTCACACCCAATTTTGAGATTATGTTTGCCCTTTGTCTTCTAAAGTTAGCCTCAAATGACCTTATATCCTCTGAAATTATCTTCAAAAGACCTCATTTTTTCCTCATATATTTCCTGATTATTTAAGGGGACATTCCAGTTCAAAACAGGCAAAAAGAAGGCTTTTTTAGTATATATTATTAAAATAACTATGACATTTATTTAAAAAATTTCTTTTACATGTAATAAATAATTTATTTAAGAATTTGTAAAAAAAAATTTTTTTCATTTTTATTTCAAAATGGCGGCGATATACGCCATTTTCGAAAATGCCCATTTTCGGTGGTAAGATCGATTCCAAACTTTTTAAAACAGATAAAACCAAAAACGAAGTGACATTCTCTTCGTTAGATAATTCTTTAGGTGTGGAACCTCAAAAAAGTGGAATTTTCTCCCCCCCCCCCTTTTTTAGAGTACTTTTTCCCAAAAATAAGCAAAAAAAGGTGTTTTTATTCAGAATTTTCCTTATAAAAAGAAGGGGAGTTGGAAATTTTCCAGTTTTTGAGGTTCCACTTATAGGGATGATGACGCTGAATCAAAAGCCGTTTGATTTTTTAAAATCGCTTCAGAAAAGTCGAGATATCACGAGATATCACGAGAAAAACGCATTTAAAGCTTTTGTTCATAGGTTTCGAAATTTTTTTTAAAAAATCATCAGATTTGCTTGAAAATCTTTACTCGGGGGTTTTTGAGGTCGCTAATTACGAATATGGAATTAGATTTTTAAAATTCAAAATGGCGGTTCCAATATGGCGGACATTTTTTTTTTCAAAATCATTGGATTTGCTTGAAAATCGTTATGGGGGGGGGGGGTTTGTGGTCGCCGATTACGAATATGACATCATTTTTTCAAAATTAAAAATGGCGGATGCAATATAGTGGACGAAAAAAAAATTAAAATTAAAAAATTGTCTTTCCGCCATATTGGATCCGCTATTTTGAATTTTGAAAATTTGATATCTAATTTGTGATCAGCAACACCAAATACATTTTTGTTTGTCTTTTTTAAAAAATGCAAATGCGAAAACATTTAAATCATTCGATTGCTTATCCGCATACAAAAACATCTTTGACATGGTGAAGAATAAGGATGTATAACTTTTGTTTTACTTCGAATTTTGCAATAATATTTTAGGAGAGTATTCTTGACACTATAAGAAATCCGAAAATAAAAACAAAAAAAATCGATTTTTTTACATTTTGAACTGGAATGTCCCCTTAAATGATAATGTGTGTATTTCAAATTAATTAAATTTCAAGAGGTTTTAAATAAAAAATGTTTGAAAATTTCAAATTGTAACATTTAATAATACGATTTAAAATACTTATTTAAAAAATGATTTAACTTTTGAATGAATTTAGGTACAAATTCTAGAAAATAATTAAGTTTCAAAATAGTTATAGTTGTAATTCTTAAAAATATTCAAATTTTTTGATTGAAATAAATTTTATCCAATTTTGAAAAAATGTTATTTCTTTTAAAATTAAAGAAAACAGCTGAACTGGAGATTATATTTTTTACGTCTATGGAACTTTAGGATGTTTTATATCACGGAAAAATCTAGAGGGGAAATACATTTTTTGTTTAAGAGTGTACACTGAAAGTAAATGTAAAAAGTGGAAATTTTTTTAAATTTGTATGTAAGTCGAGCAATATGTAGTGCAGTACGAGTTAATGTACCGCTAGATAAATGGTTTTCTGCAGGTTATTTTATGAAATTAGTACATCAAAATTAAATATATGTATTTTATTAGCTCATTGCATTTATTTCCTGATTATTTAAGCCTTCTATTAATTATAACTTATAAAATATACCCAGTTCTTGTTCAATTAAGCGATGCAATGGATTTGTACTGAATATTTTCTATAATCACATTAGAATTCAAATACATTTTCGATTACTATACGTGCAGTCGTATTTTGCCCCTTTTCTATGTTGGTTTTATGGAAAAACAATATCATAACGGAATTCTGCTTTTTAACTGGCTGATTCTACAAACCACATAGAAAGGAGTTAAACTACGAAAAACTAGTCCTTTCTCTGAGGGAAGGCATTAATTTACACGATATTTACATTTTTGGTAACATTGTATGTTATAGACACTATTTTAATTTCGCATTATAGAAATTTAATTTTAAACGTAATTGCTAATTGTTAGCTTCTGCCTGAATTGAATGTTATATTGTATTGTGCATGATCATAGCAGAGAGCAGTACCGTTGCTGTATCGTACGTTGGTGTAGGAGCCGGAGGGGGCGAGCAAAGTCCACCGCTTTCTTTACATAACGAGACTAGCTCAGCCCCTACGGCTATCAACACTTCTTCTGGAGACCCGGGATTGACAGTATTACAACCACCAGTCTCTCAACCTCAGGTATCATCCGCAATACCACCTTACACGACAATGCTTCCTAGTTTTGGACACTATGCAACTGGTAAGTACTCAGGCACTTAATTGACGGTTTAGACCAATCAACTCGAACTGAGCATCATTCCAAGTTCCCTTCATAAGTGGTTAGACCTTTGTAAGCAAAATAATCTTTATATTTTAAGATTTTTTTTACCAAAGCTTAATTAAATGAACTACAATTTATCTAATGATTAATATTTCTTATTTTCGAGACCCAAAAGTAACCTTTTATATAGAAAAACATTTTTTTGATTTATATAAAATTGCACAGTAGCTGACCACTTAAGTGAGTTCTGAACTCCGCAGAACAATTGTCTCATTCAGATCGAGTCATTTGAGTCAGGCCTATAATTGTCATTTTCTCCTTCTATTTATGTTAGAAATGCATGAATTTTTTGCTACTTATGAAAAATTATTATATTCTTAAATATTTCTGTTTCAAATTATTTACAAAAAATCTAGTTAAATAACATGTGCTTTTATGTGTAGTGAAAGTTTTAATTTTTAATTACATTTTTCTAAAACTGTTTTTAAAATCGCTGCTTGCTAAAATTGTTAAAAACTATTCTATTAATATTACAACTTAAAAATGTACAATACCTTGATTTGTCCTTTGAATATCTTTTTTAAGAAAATATTAATATCTTAGGGTACCTGTGAGGTTGTCGAAACCTTCAAATGTCAGAAAACATTCATGGAGGACAAATCTGCTTATCTGATGGCATATTATTGAAGCTCAATACAAAACTGACATTACTTCGCCCAATATATGCCAACGATTAAATTAATGAGATTCTTTAGAGATATAATTTATTAACATGTACAGTTATATTAAACTTCAATTTTTAAAATTTTTAATTTAAAATAACTATGTATAAAACTAGTCCATAACATTAGAATTGAATTAATTTTTACGAAGAGTAAGATTATTTTTATGTATGTTTAGGTACTGGTGACTACGCGTATAGTGCGGCATATTCTCAGTATTCGGCTGCTCCTTATAGTAGTTATGGTTATGGAACTGCGACAAGCGGGTTACTCAGTAAGTAAACAGTGAGTATTACTACCCATTAGATCAGGGAACAATTGATTGTAATACAAGAGACGTTGAATACAAAATGAAATCTCGTATTTTTTTCTACATATACATACAGTAAGAATAGCTTCGTGTCAGTCATAGAAAAGTACGGGATTTATATAAGAATGTGTTTCTTCCACTCATAGACTATGACTGACATGAAATCTTCCCTACTGTATACATACATTAATCATTATTCAAATCTGTGTAAGATATATTAAAAATTGACCGAGTTCTAAAATTGCATCAACGTCTCACATATATTTCGTGCTACCCGGTCGAAAACCCGATTGTACATGTACATGGTTCTTGTACTTGATCGTATGTATGTTTCTGGCGCATTTATAACTTTTGACTTATGTAAAGTTATCATGTGATTAAACATACACAAGTTCATGTACGTGGATTTTAATTGTCTAAAACTGAATAAGTAAAAATTCGTCATCTTATTTAAATAAATAAAGATTCAGATTTAGAAAGTGGATATTTAACACTAACACAAAAAACCTGGGTTCATTTTTGTTGCAGCTCAAAATGAGTCAATGTCAAATGCCGTAAAAAGTGGCCCCACCGACTAAGTTAATTTTTTTGCTTTTCAAATTGAGTAGCGTAGACTACTAATTTTAAACCCAGGTTTTTTCAGTTTGTGTTCGCACGTGTTCATGTACAAAACAATTCAACCGGGTATACAAAGTTAATAATATTTTTAAAATGTAACTTTTTTTGTATTTTGGTGTTAATTTTTCATATAAATCGTAATTAATAATATATTCATTCTACAGATGTTTTAGAAATGGGGTGTATTTCCGAAAATTGCAATTCTCGAATTTGTTTGAAACTTCGTATACTTATATGTATTGCGACGCGATATTAACGAAAAATGTTACAGGTTAATATTTATCAAATAGACTATTTTTGTGCGTAGCTCATTTTTTCAAATTTTAATTTAAATTGCGACTGGCGACCTAAAAAATTCCAACTTTTCCAAAATAAGAACCACCCTAGTAAATATGAAGATTTATAAGTTAGTCCATGAGATCAGCCTTTCGGAAATTTATTAAAAACTGATAAATTTGATTTTTAGGATTTTGAATTTTTACTCTCTTAATCTGGAAAGATGTGTACGAATAAGACACAAATGTCATTTATTAGTACATTTCATTAATCAAAAATCGTTTGACAAAATTTTCACTCAATTGAATTTTTGTTTAATCGAATTAAAATTAACTTGAATTTCTACTTAAATTTTTTATGTAACCAAATTTTGATTTGTCTAAACTTACATCTGAGAGAATTTCTATTTAATCTCATTTGTCTTTTGGAAAATTTTTATTATATAGAATACTTAATTTTATGGCGGACGCAAAAATTTAATAAGTCAAACTTAAGGTAGTACGCTCGCAACAGTCACTATCAAAAATAAATTTTAATAGAATGCTTTAGTATGGTGCACTTACTTACTTACTTACTTACTTACTTTTTACTTAATAATTGCATTTGTCCGAACTGTTGTTTTAACGAAATGTCACTTTTGCGAATCGACATTTTTACGAATTGCCACTTTTGCTAAAAGTCATTTTTGCGAAATATCATTTTTACGAATCGTTATTGTTCCGAAATGTCATTTTTTCGAATTGTCATTTTTACGAATTGTCACTTTTGCGAAAAGTTATTTTTTCGAATTGTCATTTTTGCGAATTGTCATATTATGCGAACTGCCATTTTTTCGAATTGTCATTTTTACGAAATGTCATTTTTGCGAATCGACATTTTTACGAATTGCCACTTTTGCGAAAATTCATTTTTGCGAATTGTCATTTATGCGAACTGATATTTTTTCGAATTGGCATTTTTACGAAATGTCACATTTGCGAATTGTCATTTTTGCGAAAATTGCTACAGTAAATCTATATATGCATACAAGTTTACTATAGCAATTTTTGCAAAAATGATAATTCGCAACAGTGACATTTTGTAAAAATGACAATTCGAAAAAATGTCAGTTCGCATAATTGACAATTCGTAAAAATGTCGATTCACAAAAATGACATTTCGTAAAAATGCCAATTCGAAAAAATTACAGTTCGGTCAAATGACATTTGTGGAATAATCATGCGCCTCTAGCCAGGTTAGAATATTATATTTCATTTTTCAAACGAAACGGTTAATATTGTTAAATTTTTTTTTTGTTCTAAATTTTTCAAATATTCATTTATAGTACATTAGTTTTTTAAAACAATCTATAGAAAAATTTTAGAAGTTATTGGAAGAAATGTGTCGTTTATATGCACTCTTTATGGGTTAACCTTGTTAAATAAAAAACTTTTAACTTAAATATCTTGTTTTAGAAACGGTAAATTTTTTTGAAATTTTGCAATTGCGTAGATCTTGTCATTAAGTATTCAGATTTTAAATTTCATGAAATTCTATAGAAAATTAAGATCGCGATTGTACTACCTTAATTCATGAAAACCCCCGAAAACTCGGAGGTACTCGAGATTTCTAATTACAAATCCCATTTTTAAACAATTTTTTAATGTTTTGTAAAATTTTTTAATTTTTGTTTCAAATCTTTACTGTTTTGTTAATTAAATTTATTGAATTTATCATTTATTTGACGAAAAAAAGTGTTTATACTGTTGTTTTTTATAAATAAGCTTATACTATATAAGTGATTTTTTTCAGATTCATCTTACTATTACTGCGGCGGGGATACGCTGGCGTCTTCCCACAATAATACACAGCAGGGTGGTTGTAACAATGCAGGATCAGAGAACAACGCGGATGTAGCTAGTCGTTCACCCCTTGCTGCAACAAGAGCTAGTAGTGGCGCTAGTGCTGCATCACCTACAGGAAGCGCTTGCACGAAGCCAGATCATAGTACGACTTCGACCGATCTATATTTAGCTTAATTAAAGGGAAGTTGTTATAGGTTAGAACTCCTTAGGTGCATTGCTAGTAACCCAACAAACTTACCAAAAAAAAATTGAAGACAATTAGCAAGCGCCATATCATAAAAAATTTATTAAAATTTCGTATTGTTTTGTTGTGAGACAAAGTGATAAATGCTCATGTATTTTGATATGGTAGTCTCACATTAAAAACTATCACGAGAACGCTCTTCCTTTATTGCTTCTACAATCAAGTGCAACAAAAACCGTCAAATGGATGCTCTATCATATATTAGTGAATCCGTAAGTTTCCTCTTAATTTTGGATGTGATCGTTAGTGCGACATAACATATATGTAATAAATGAAACATTGCATTATCAGATCACAGTCAACATTTCCTGTAAATCAGAGAAACAAATGGACTTGACATTGTATCCTTAATCATCAGCAATATATTTATTTTTATCAGAGAAAACAGTCACTATATTATAGAAGGTGGAAATATTTTGACATAAATTTTATTTAAATCTATTATTTTATTACGGTAAAAGAAATTTTAGATTATAAATTACATGGGAGAAGTAACATTTTTTTTCGTCATTGGCACGCTAAATTAAAAAATGAGAAAAAAGTATTACAAAATAGAAATTGTAGTCCACATAAGTTTTATCTTGACTTAATTTCTGTAACAAGTTGAATCAGCATGAAAATATTTTTTATCGTTCTTAGGAATGCATTTCCACTTTTTTTGATAAATTCAAATTATATGAAACAGATTGAATTTTGAACGTTATGAAAATAACAAGAATATAAATAAGGAAACAAAAACTTACTAATGTAGATTAAAAGTTTAAAAATTGTTTTACTATAACACGACATTTAAGAAAGATGGGAAAAAATTTTGCTGTACTTTAGTAGCATTAAAATTTGTCTACGTATAGTTTACGATTATTTTTTATACAAGTTTTTTAATCTAAATTTTCATGTTGATACATCTTTATTTAAACTCAATTTCGGTACTATTCGAGGATCGAGACACCAATATATTAAGGATTCACATCCTAGACACTAATAGGTATCTTTAAAACTCTATTGTGAATATATATTCATGCTCTTATTTATTTATTCCTTTTGGTATGTTTCGATCTAACGAGTATTAATATATGAATATGCTTTATATTTATACTTATTTCTCAATAATAATATTAGGTTTTAGTCAGCTAAGACTATTTCCATCTTAATTTCGCTCTCTTCAACTTTTGACTGAAGTTTAAAATGCACAGTTCTAAATATGTTAATTTTTTACATTTATAGTATTTTCACTAATTTTAGAATCGTCTTCATATTCAACCATCTAAAATATTCTAAGATTTGTCTTGATGAGTTAAGTAGGACAAAAGCAAAGTTATTAATGGTTAAACATTTTTTCACATTAGATTTATTTCTCATTGAAAAAAGACTGTTGCAGTATTTATCTTTGTAGTATTAAAATATTGTCATTTTATTTTTAAAAAAATTTACAGGTTTTCGATTTTTTAATTTTGATAATTCATACACATATATTTAAAGAAAGCTTGCCGAAAATTACTATTCTTTTCTTTTTGTTTGAATAATAACATATAATTTAAAATAAATTTAAATAACTAGCTTTTTTATAAGACTGGGAAAATTAAATTATTAATTAAGTTTCATTACATTCTAATAATATAATCATAATTTATTATTTATTTTTTCTGCTATTTTAATGGTAAAAGATTATTGTATATTATTTAGTTATTTAATATATAAAAAAACCTTTCATTACAACAAACGAATGCGTTTTCATTCAAATGCATTTTATAAAATCATTTTTAGAAAATCGAAAATTTTAAATTTATCTTTTGAAATAAAGTACTTCTATATCGAATATATGAAAATTCGCATGGATTATGGAAAAAGTTGATTTAATTTTAGTTAGTACATTAAAAATATTTATTTTACAGATTATAATATCGACGTATTAGTTTTTTAAATTTTGATATAATTTTATAATTTAAAATAATTATTTAATTTTCTTTTAAATATTTTTACTTGCGAATTTGTAGATAGTTATATATATACATACATATATATATATTTCTAGAAACTGATCCAAAACACAAATTTGACACATATTGAAACCCGAACCAAAAGTTGGATCGTTTGCTCGATACTTGCAAGTCAATTGCCTCTGTGAAGTCACTCCGTGGGTCAAGAGACTATTGTCGGTATTATTAAAACAATAGAAATTAATTTTGAGTGACTTTGAGAGTACTTTACAAATCATGTAACGAGTAACGATCACTACGTTAAGGATATTATATCTATTTTTTGTAGAAAACCAAAGACCACTTAGAAGAGAATAATGAAATGGTAAGCACGACGCGCATTCATATATTGCGGACACATTTATTAACAGTGAATATTAGTTAAAAAAAAGTATGATTGCATTGTCCTTACCAAGCGACGATTAGAATATATTTTATTATGTTAATAGTTAATTTTTTTAAATTTGAAATTCTGCCTTAGAAATTAAAAAATATATATATTGTCAACTTATAAAAGTAAATAATATCAGAGACGCACAAATAGAAACTTTATTTACCGAATGATATACAGATTAAAATAATCCCAAGTTTATTGCACATGTATAAGTTTGAAAATTTTATGTGGGCAGTTCTCAAGAAACTATATTTTTTAACAACGTTGCTAATTATATATTTAGGTTAAAAAATTATTGATATGTGTTAGGATGATTTTTTTAAAAATATATAATGCAAAATGGTAATACATATATAGTTTTGAACAATATTGCTGATGACCATCCTTTTTCATTGCATCATCTCAAAAATTTCTAAATTATCTATTTTTATTATTAAATTTACATTGTTTCAAAAAAATTTGACTTATTGCAATGATTTAATATATTAATAATCTATTGTACAAAATAGGGTTGCTGACATGTTTTTGGTACATTTCAGAATCAATATTAGTATCTAAGTTTTTTAATTATAAAGAATATATCAGTTGTTATTTCTAAAATAATTCTAAAAAATAGAATCTTAATAATTTCATATTTTTCAATTATAAAAGAAACCGCACAAAAAAGTACTATTTATAAACTGGAATTTTCGTTTGATAGAATGAAGTGCTCATTTAGATTTAAATGAACTAGTGTCAGTACCATTTTGTATTTCGTAAATATTATTCTAATTCAAGACCAAGTAATTAAAAATTATCATAATAATTAAAAGCTTGTATGTCTTTATTTATTAATAAAATTTTTTTTCAATTCAAAATTATCTTAAAATACAAGTGTCGTGAAAATTGCCCATATGAGAGAATAACAAATATTATTCTGATGAAAAGAATTTCATTAAATTATAAGTATTTGCAACAAATTTCACTGCCTTCTTAAATCAGAATTATATATTTGAAGATTCTGGATTCAAGAAAGCAACATGAACTGTTATTTTGGTTTTCTAAAAAATTTATAAAATTAAAGAATTAACAAGATTCAGATATTAAGTACACGTCTGTTATATAATTTATTGATTTTTACGCTTTTCAGTTTTTAATTCAAACATGAAATTTATTAAAACTTGCTTACCTGTGAGTTGAATGACATGAATTGGTTAAATAAAGATTGTTGACATCAAAAGACCAAAGAAAATCAAATAAGATATTAGGGTGAAGGAAATCATTATTGAGACTGATAATTTCGTCAATGTTAACATGGTTATGACCTAAAATATTGTTTACAATATTTCAATTGTTTGTGAATATAAAATTGATGTGTTTAATACTTACAACACATAAAAAGTTAAATACTACTTACTAACTGTTTGCATTTACAATGTGATTTAATGTTTAAATCAAAAACAGAATTTGTTTACTCGATACATAGGTATATCATCAAAAATTATTTCCTTAACCCTATGAAAAATACAAATTTAAGAAAAAGAGCAAAACACTAGTTACTTTCTTAATTCATTTTTTTTACTGAAAAACATCTATTTACTGTTAACAACTTTAAATGAAATTATAAGAAAAATTGATAAATTATCGAAGTACCTAAATTTTTGTAAAATCAATATATTTAATTTATTACTTAAAAATTTTCAAAGATAATAATTTTTATTTTAATACAACGTAATATACGTTATTTTTATTAAAAGTAAAACAATGACCCATTCAAATATTTTTTAACATTATTTGCTATGCTGAAATTTAAAAACATTACTTTTAAATTTTAAGTTTTATTCTGGAATAAATGCCTTATCGCATCATTTTTAAATTGAAATGAAAACATTTTTAAAGTAAAAATTATTTTTTCAACACTGTAAATAATTGTAACCCTTACACGTTAAAAATATTATATACCTTACTTAATAAGAAAAATTAAATAAAATTCCATACGTACATTATAAAAAAATATTTAAAAACTATTTAAAAAAAGAATATAATATTTACTTTAATTTGAAACTTTAGAAACAACAATTTTCGAGAATATTTAATCAATTTTAGAAATATAATTTGTATTGTCTGCAATTTTGTTCTTTTTTCTATAACTTATTTATTTAATTTATTATTTAATTACTAAAATTGTAATTAAAAAACTTCATTTTGTTTATATTATAGGTATTTATTTTATTTTTTCCAATAAACGTACTTCATACTTTAATGCTTTGTGAAAAACACAATTATTTAAAAATTAAAATATCCATTGTCAATTTTGACTTTTTTACCTAAAATTTTCTTCAAATAGACTAACTTAATCTTAAATAAATAAACGACATAAACACGACAATGTTTTAATGCAAATAACTTATAAAAATAATTTATTTTGACTTTTTTTTAATATTAGAAAATATTTAATGAATTTCCAGTGCAATATAATTTTACTGTTCGGTGTAAATTGATTTCTGACGAAACTTTGGTAATATGTAACATAGAATGAGAACTACCTTGCACTGATATTTATATATTTTAATTTATCAAATATTTATAATTTATATGTAAAAATATTTATAAAATACAGTCGTGTTCTGTAACTCCAAGACGTTTATTAACTGTCAGTATCGTAAATTTAAAATTATAGAGGGTTTCAAATGAAAATTAGTGAAAATCGGCATAAATTTGCTTTTCACCATAAAATCTATAAAAAGCATTCAAAACTTTTGCTTTTGGTGCTTATTTTCTTTAACACATGTTATTTTTTTTGGGTTTTTTTATGGTTCTTACCATCTTATCATCAAGTATGTCAAGTTTTATTAAAGTCTATTGTTTGTGAAGTTAACAAAATAATAAATAAATAAATGTTCAATAATTACATAGTGCTTAAAAATAAAGTACTTAATATTGTTAAATGTCTTTCAAGTGTTTCTCAGAAAAGCGTAAGCACATCGCTGGAAAACTAGAATAAGCAAGGTATGGCTTGCAATCACGATAGTTGAGTAGATAATTTTCACGAATCTTCGAATTACAAGGCACGACTTTAAATGACCTAAAGACAAAGATTTATTTTCTATTTATGTGACACTATTCTTTTGTAAGAAATCAATTTTATCAATGATTTTGTTTGTCTTATACAAGAAAACCCGGTTCAAATATGCGATATTGAATAGTAGATAACTAGAAATCATTATAGAGAATAATAAGAACTAATAATATTTTTAATTAATGTGTCGAAAATTACTATAATAAATCATAATTTATCTGATTAAAATAAAGTTTGTAATATATTAGAAAGTATTTATTTATACATTTTTATCAATAAAAGTATTTTAGTAAATCTTATAAAATAAATTACCTGGTACTTAATTATTTATTTTATGACTTTTTGTAATAAAGTATCTGAAGACAAAATAATGGATGATTTTTAAGAAATATATAGTGTTTCTTGCTATTTGAATTATTTAATAAAATTTATTACTTTGTCTTACTAAAGCATAAATTTCCCAAGAAATTAACGAAATTCTTTTAATATGCAAATATATATTTTTTGATCTTTGAAGAAGGCATCTTGACTTATCTTCCTGCTTATGTAGATAAACAAATTTTGAAGGCAGAATCTCATACGTCGCATGGTAAATAAATCAATACAAATGATATAACAATTTGTTACAAAATTATTTTAACTATAAAAAATTTTTATTTCAAATTTCATTTTTAAAATGAAAATAATCTGTCTAAAAATAAGATGAATATGTATAGAAAATGTGTCTCGCATTCATTTTAAAAATCTGATGACTTTATTTATATATATACATATAAGTAGTGTAAAATTGAATACTGAGCGTAAGATAAGTTGTTACTTAGTACATTAA